GACATGACTGCTGACATGTCAGGCTTTAGGCCATGCTCCTACCTAGGACTAGGAAGCTTATCCATGATGGCCCCTAGGACTATGATGGGACTGCTCTCCGAGGATGTGGCGTGGTTAGTGGCTTCTTTCCGCCCTGGTCAACGCTCTGTTGAAACGTCATCGTTCGGTGTCTTGGACTTATGTCCGCGAGCGCACGTCTTGTTGCGCTCGAGATTCTCGCGCAGGTGAAGATTTTGGCCGCGTTGGAACTAACGCGTCCGCCTATTCTGGGATAGTGTCGCGGTGTCTCCTTGGTGCAAGTAGATCCGAGCCGCACCCCAACAATTGGTATCCAACCAAATTCGACTCGATCAAATTGAGTTGAACCCAGGGTTCACAAGTTTTGGGTGAGGAGCAAGTTTTATCCGCTTTTTTAATTAGTGGGTTAGGTCATATGTTAATTTGTTAATACTCGACCCTCTTTCCATTCGAACTACATCCAAAAAACAAAACAATCCACCTGGTCGAAGCATGTTGAACTTGGTGTTGACGAGTTTTTGTCGGATCGAGTTTTACCCGTGTTGACAAGTTTTGGGTAAGGAACGAGTTTTATCTAATTTTGTAATTAGTGGGTTGGGCTAGAAATGAGCAACTAAAAGTTCTCCAAACTTCAAAAAAACTCCTCAAACAATAAAAGAACACTCAATAACTTCTCTTTCCCATGGTTGTCATGCTGACTCATGCCGGTGTCATTCCTTTGGTAGAATCGAGTTCAAGTCAATGAAATTCAAAAGTTCACATCTATGAAATACAAATTATATTTCATATGTGGTCTTTAGAGCAGCTGCATCGCCTTTCATTGCCCAATTCCATTGTGACATGGCATCTGTCTTTCTCCATTTCACGGTTGTAGTCCTGTCTTCAAATAATGGAAGCTGTCACTTAATGAAATAGAGAATGAAATTGCAAGTGGGTAGATGTGGGCCCTTTTCCCACGGTTTTGCCTCATCTTTTTTTTTTCTTTTTCATTTCTTTTAGATAAAATGTAGAGTTGTATACTTGTGTTGAAAATATAGTCAATTGGGCCCACCAAATGAAATAGAAAGTGGATATCATTTTTTTTTTTGACAAAGTGGATATCATTATCATTGATGTAGAGGAAATGAAATTGGTATGAAGTGAAATGAGAAAAATTGTTGATATGGCAGTAGGGACCACATATGAAATAAAAATGGTATTTCATGGATGTGGATGGTCTTACTGCCATCTCAACAACTTGTACAATTGCACTACATACCTATTTTATTTCATCAATAAAATCTACTTTTAATTTTTGTGGACCCAACAAATTTTTAATACAAGTAAATATTTTATCTAACTTACATCATTTTATAAATTTAAGTTTATCACTTAATTAAAATGGTATACGCTTCTTATTTAATTATCAATAGTAACATAAATTCACATTTAAAAATTAGATTATAGCTTTAATCATATACTAAAAAATAAATTGACTAATTGATAATGTAGCAAATCACTTTCAATAATGAGAGTATACTATATGTATGAGTTTGATTTTATTTATACATAAAAAAATCACCTTAACTAACACAAATAAAAAATCAAATAAAAAGAAATTGAAATGGGAGCGACTCAACTATCTTATCTCCTTCTTTCTCATTTCATTTAGTTTGGGCTAGAAATGAGCAAAGTTAAGTCAAGCTTTACTCTTGTTTGGCATCGACTTGTTAGTAAACGAGCTGTGTCGAGCTCGAGTTAGGCTTACTAAAATTTTCACTCGTGTTCAATATATACATAATTTTGTATGTCATATAGATATATGTGATTGATGTCATGATAAAAAAAGAATAATAATCAAATTTTCATCATTCAATAATCTCATGTTATACTTTGAGTATTACACCATTTAGGGCATGTTTGGAAGTTAGGATTCTTTAAATGGATGTATTTAATCAATGTATGTATTATAATTAGATGCATTGTTTCAATGTATGAATTTGAAAAATACATTGTTTGGAGATTGAATGATTTTGGTGGTCCCTCAAAGAATAAGGAACAAAAAGTAAGACAACAATCCCTCAAACACAATCTCTACTAAAAGTTGAGATTGACAATCCTTCATAATGAATGATTCTGGTGGGCCCATTTGTTGTTCAAATACAAGCATTCTTTTTCATTTTAAGCCAAAAAAACAATGAATTCTTCTGATTACATGCATTAGCTAAATACATCATCTGAAATCTCAACTTCCAAACGAGCCCTTAGTTTATAAATTTTAACTAGTTCAAATCATGTTATTTCATTCTATCGAAGCAATCTATGATACCAATATTTTTAATTCAAAATAAGACATATTTGCTCGCATACTCAATGTCTTAAACATCATATAGGGTGAGATATATGATTAAACAATCATATGAATTATCAAAACCCAACTCATAAGGTATATATATGGACTGGGGTTTATCCATTAGAGGTTAGGGTATAGTATCATGCCAAAAACTCCGGTTAATTCATTATCTAAATAGTAAAACTCAACGGGCGTACGGTAGACTAAGGTACGCCCTGGCGCACGCTAGCCTGAACCATATATATATATATATATATATATATATATATATATATATATATATATAGACTCGCCCATAAATCGATAATTCAATTGGTTCTCTAGCCACAATGTTGAGACATCTAGTAAGTTCTAAACGAGCCAGCTCACGAGTTGAGATGAACGGGTCACCGAGTCGAGCTAGCTCGCGAGCTAAACAAATCTTAGTTCAAGCTCGACTCGTTACTAAACGAATCAAGTTTTGAACGAGTTTTTCCTGATTCGAATGTCTAGTCGCTCTGGAGCAGTTATGCTCCTTTGCAGCTCTAAGTGGAACCCATTCATCTTCGTATATCCCTCTTGCCTATTTCCTTTAGCGAAAGATTTCATTAGTGAAAGACACTCCCACATGGTCACATCAATGAAATAGCATGAAATGTTGCCACCTCACCGATGAAATGGAGGGATGACAACTTGACAATCTGTATCACACGGTAGACCATACCACTTGCAAAATTTAAATAATTATATAAATGTATTTGATAACCTTGACTTTTCCCCAATGTCTAAGGATGGCAAAATAACTCATCATTGTGAGTTTTCAATAGAATTCGAATTGATTTTGTCCGGGAAAGTGTAACTGATATTAACATTGGATGGGTTTTCTCCTAACCCGCAAAAGGGTAATGGGTTTGGTGCGAAATCAACATCGAACCCATCCGAATAACTATGTTCCAGACTCATTCACTTTAGCATTTCGTTTAACCATATCCCGAAACATCAAGGGGTTCAAAGAACGGGATTTAGGGCATGGATTCATTAAATCCGTAGATTTTGTAAAAAGTTATGTTTTTTGTTGCTTTTTTTATTGTGGATTTTAGCTTTAGAGATTTCAAATATCTAAAATCTACGGATATCAAATCTCTCATAGTCACAGAGATTCTATATCTTGATTAGTGACATATTTTTCTTCTACTTTTTCTCTTTCTTTCTTTCTTTTATTTATTTATTTATCATATTAAATAAATTTATCAACAAAGTATTTAATATTTCTCGAACCAATTTAATTATTTATTATGGATAAATATATTATTTAATATAAAATTAATTCTTTTATTTTTATTGGATGTTAATAACAATCACAGTTACCAAACAATAAACATTTTAAAATCTATTTTCAACAATTCAAAAAGTTAGAATTTTTAGATTGTTAATAATATATAGATTTAAACTAATATTCTCCAAATGACCCCTAAAGTATCTCTTAGACCTCATATCTCATTCATTTTGCTCTAAGTTATACAACAAATATGGCAAAAAAACTTCATTTTACATTTTTTTGGTAGGAAACTAGAAAATTTTTGTTTAAATTATATAAAAATTTTACACACGATTGTTCGAAGTTAATGCATATTAGTTTTTCGCGAACCGCACACCGATGAATTTTGCATATTACATGCCAGCACTGTTTTTTATTTAAAAAATGACTATGATTTTAAAATTGTGATTCAAAGGTAATATATATGAAAACCGATTTTATGTGAACCAGTTACCATCCCTAGTTCCCTACCAATGCCCATACTCTCGGACGGGGTTTATTACTGGGAGGTACTAATTAACGTCCTAATTTTTTAAATTAATCGCCCTATCTTAGACAAGTTGACATTTTTGCCCCTAAATTTTCTCAATCTCTAACCAAATTAAAAAAAAATCCCAAATTAAAAAAAACACTCGTCTCGCCCCGTCGCCCTAGGATCTCTATCGCCGGACAAGAAGCCCTTGCCCATCGCCGCCGTTCACCCTGGAACCTTGCCCATTGTCCCCCTGGAAGTCCTCCCCCGTCGTCGCCGTTCGCCTGGAAGTCATCGCCCGTCGCCCTCATTCGTCATGGAAGTCCTTGCGCCGTCGTTCCTCCTCTGCAAACCGTCGATCGGCAGACGATTGAACACGGCGATTCAGAACCCAGCAATAGCAGAGGCGTCCGGCAGGGGAGGATTCGTTTCTCTCTTCTGCTTACTCGATCGGCGAGCGGAGGCCTGGAGGCGGAGACGGACCTAGCACCAGAGCTGTCACACGAGATTGACGAAGGATTCCATCAACCGAGCAGCAGTGCGGCCACGCGAGATTCTTCAACCGGAGAGAGAATACCTCCAGTGGATTGGAGAAGGAAAATTAGGGTGCGAGTGAAGAATTTTGCCGGTGAATTTCATTAGCCGGATTTTCCATCCGCCGACGGTGAGCTATTGAATTTAGGATTTAGGGCGATGAATTATGGGTGACCATTTTACAAATTAGGGGTAATATCGTCTGTTTGGTTAATTTAGGGCGAAAAATTTAAAAACTTAGGACGTTAAATAGGAATCCAGTTATTACTAGCCCCGTCAAATCAAATAAAATCAAATTCAAATCTCTCTCTCTCTCTCTCATAACGCGCCCCGCGCTTTTTCCTCATTTAATTTCTCTGTTCGCCAGTGGCCAGTGCAAGCGCTTCTGCATACACAACGGTTCCCAATTCCCACCACTCTACTCTCTCCTCCGTCTCTCTCCCACAACTCTCAACGACGGAATTTTCGTCTCCCAACTCCGGTCAGTCGCCATGTTTGCGTCCGATGTCTTCCAACCGCTTCGCCCCCAACTCGACGATTTCACACGTATGTTTCTCTCTTCTCTTCCCTGCTTGGCTGCGCAACTTAGGGCTCGTTTCCATGCCTTGTTCCCCCCTTACTCCATCCTTCATCGATCATCCGCTTTCGCTGTTGCTGGATCTCGGATTTCAGGGTTCCAGTATCGTTTTGATTTCTTCATTTTCCCGCGAATCTACTTCAATTTCCTGTTTCCTTCTCCTGATTTTCCAGGTGATCCAGAGGCTGCTTCGTTGCTGTTGGCTGCTTTCGAAGGAAAATTCAATACCGTCGAGAGTGAGTAATTTGTGCTTCTTTCCTTCCCTGTCTAACTCTGCCCAGTAGATGATGATTTTCAGAGTGTTAGGAGGGGGAGTGAGAGCTGATCTTCTAGGGTTTTTGCATTTTCCAGTGATGGAACATATGATTGATAGGCCCATGGAGAGCCTTAAGGACGACCTAGGCCGAACCGCTCTCCATTACGCCGCTGCTGGAGGAAAGTATGATGTCCTCGTTTATTTGGTCGAGATAATGGGATTTCCTGCTGATATCCGAGATTCCTCAGGTAATAACCGTCATCAACTCCAATTTGAATTCACTTCCTCCAATCTGAGAGATGTACGGCTGTTATTTGGTTAGGGTTTGTGTTTCTCCGAACATTGGTAAGGTGGATTCGTATCGGGTGTGATTGGTGATGTTGAACTTTTGAACCTGTCATCATGTTGTTCACAGGAGAGACTCCTTTGCACAAAGCAATTGTAGCTCGTCACCACGGCTGTGCAGAATACCTTCTTGACTATGATGCTGATCCAAATGCAGCCACTTATGATGATGGGTGTACACCTTTCCATTATGCTGCCGGAGCAGGTACTTAGCTGCTATATCATCATTTACATTGATCAGCGATGAATAATATGTGTATGCCATCACGATGGCAGTTTCTTTATCGTTTGGTCTTCCTTGAAAGAATACATATCCAGGTGGTTATTTCCTTGGTGGGTTCTCTGTTTGATTACTTGCACTTAATTGTTACAGGATCCAAAAAATTGGTTACGCTTCTCTTGTCCCAAGGTGCTAAAGTTGATGCGAAATCAAGTTATGGCACTGCGTTGCATTTTGCATTTCGGAACAAAGTTATGGTTAAAACTCTGTTAGAGCACAACGCCAATGTAAGTGTCATCCAAGTTTACTTTCTTTGTGTTTGGGGAGGAAGCTAGTGCTGAAATTTTCCATATCAGTCTGTCTGTTGATTGCTTTCCTTAATTCTATTCATGTTGCAGCCAAATATTGTTATCTCGGAAGCAATGTCTCCATTAGTAATGTCAATTGTAGGGAAATGTCTGGAAACTGTGAAGTTACTATTGAAGGTAAATTGTGGGAGCCAACCTGATCCTAGAATTGGCTTCAGCTTTTGACTTGTCAGGGTTTTTATTTCTCTGAATTGCACACAAGCCAGACTGGCATGAAATCATTAGAATTAGCATAAATTGATTTCTATTCTTGTTCTAGGCTGGAGCTGATCCGAACCTAACTCCAAGCTTGAACCTGTTTGGAATATCTCCTCTGGGTACTGCCGTCATGGAAGGAGCCATGGAGATCATCAAACTGTTACTCAATGCCGGAGCAGATCCTAATGCCTCGGATAATGTAGTAAGCACCCATCTCCACTCTGTATTCCTAAGATTCTAACACATGAGAAACAAGAAATAATAGACTGTTCATTATAATTTCCCGTCTTTGTTTATAAACGTGCTCGGGGTTTGATCCGTTGTTTTTCTGCATAGCTTGGAATGAAACCGGCTGAGCTAGCTGGATGGTTAGGTATGCGTCAGGCAGCTAAGCTGCTATTGCCACTCACCTCACCAAATCCCAAGGTTCCAACTTGGACTTTTAACGGAATAAAGAAGTACTACAATGCTGAACCACAAGCAGCAGAGGTATTGTAGTACTCTTGTAAAAAAGTTCACTAATTCTAATTGCGCCCACGCAGCAACCACACTTTTGCCTCCTTTATACCAATTTCTCGTTCTCGGTTTACAGATATACAGCCGAACAGAGGAACGACGTTTGCTGTTTAAATCAAAGGGCAAAGATGCATTCATCCGAAAACAACATGCTCTTGCCTTGCTTTGGTACACTCAGGTTGGTTGGCTGATATATAAATAGTTAAATATGTCCTAAAACTTTTTCTGAGCGTTTCATTGAAGCTATATAACCTCTATCTTGGGCTCATTGCAACGAAATTGCAGGCCAAAAATCTGAATCCTCTTGACGAGACTGTGTTGTCAAATCTAAGTGCGTGCTGGGTTCGCATGAAGAATGGCGGCCAAGCTTTGAGTGAGGCGCGGGCCTGTATTATGCTGAAGCCCGAATGGCCTAAAGCATACTATAGGGAAGGCATGGCCTTGAACTTGCTCAAAGTATGTCTCTCACAGCTTCCTTCCTTCCTTCTTCGTCTTCCCTCTGTTGGGAGTTATAGTTATCTTGTATGGTAACAAATCTTCGTAACTAACTTGGGAATCTACGTTGGACTGGCTGCATTATGCAGGAATTTCGAGATGCCGCGAAATCGTTTGCGATGGGTCTGCAGTTTGATCCCGGGAATAAGGAGCTTGAAGATGCTTTAAGGTAATAATGAGTTAGTTCTTAGGATTTAGGAACACGGTTTTTCAGCAGTTCTAGTAGTTGTTGTCATATCCCTAGCCGAATCATGTGTTGACTATTTGTTTTTACGAATGCACAGGCAAGCTTTAGCAGATGCAGCAGATCCACGGAAGACGTTTGGAGGCTTCGGATTCTTTTGATTTTGGGTTATTAGCCTGTTTGCTCATGTGAAACTATTGTTAGCCCTGAAAAAATTTGTTCCAGGTTTTACTTTTGTGGGTGTTTTTTTCTTTTTGCAGCTCCTGAAACTATTTAATAGGGTGTGGTTCTATGGTTTGCTTTTGGGATAAAACTGCTCAGAGATGCTAAATTTTCTTAGGGTGCGTTTGGATACAATGATTTGGATTTGGTATTTGTGATTTGGATTTTAAAATACCAAATCATGTGTTTGGATATTAATTACATTTGGTATTTGGATTTGTGTCAAATTCATGAGGTGATTTCCAAATACATGTCTAGTGTATTTTTTGTCAACTTCAAATACATTTCAACAACTAGTGATTCGAAATACCTCCTAACAAAAGGATGGACCTATTTGTAAAATATGAAAAGTTTAGGTACTATAGTGTGAGGCAAAACATATAAAGGTACCAAAATGTAATTTTACCATCAAAATTCCAGGACCTTTTTGTAAAATTTTAAAAGTTTAGGTACTAAAGTGTAAGAAAAAATAATTTTGGGTACCAAACTGTAATTTACCAAAATTTGTAGTAAGTGACCAGGAAATTAAAAATTGAAATTGAAAATCATAAAATACAAAATACAAACAAATTACAAATGAGTATCCAAACAATGAATTTGAATTACATGTATTTCAAATGCTAATATTTCGAATACATCCATTTCAAATGCTAATATTTCAAATACCTTACATTTAAAATCCACTTATCCAAACGCACCCTTAACTTTTTCGATGCTAAATTTCGTCAGATAGTCAACTGCATTCACTTCATATTGGAAAATCAGATTACTTTTAATATGGTCAAAGAGTCAAGACTTATGAATTCGGCTCATGTTAAATTTATTGTCGGCTAAATTGCAAGTTTGGTAACTTGAATTACTAGTAAAATTCACATTAGCCACTAGAATTACTTTATTCCATCTATAGTCACTTAAATTAGGTTAACAGTTTAAGTTTGGTCACTGACCGTTAGTCTCCGTTAACTTTTGCTGATGTGGCGGTCAACTCTTATAATTGACCTTTAAATGAGTGACGTGGCAATTAAAAAAATAAAAATAATTTTTAATAATTTTCACCTTGTTATTACAATAAATTAAAAAATAATTAAAACAAAAAACAGGTCAACCCGACCGCTTACTCACTATTATCGTCGGCGTCCCTTCCCCATCGTCGGTGACAGAACTCCAAGAGGCCATAGAAGCTGCCGATCATCAGGAATCTCCACCAGCTGGAAATTGACTCGTCTCTTCCACATCGTCGGCTAGGGGAGCTGGCCTGACACTACGACCCTCTCATGCAACTTCAACTCGGCGAAATCCAGACGGTGATCGTGTCGTCGGCAGAATGGGTTGAAGAGTTCATGCAAACCCACAATCTCAACTCCGCCAGAACTCGGCTACATGACAAACAAGAAAAAATTTCAATTATTTTCCACCGGAGAAACCAATAGCTCTCTCTCCACATCGTCGCCGTTTGTCCACAAACCCTCCATGGCTCTGTGTCTTGAACCATTTCTTATTCCAGCTGCCGGCGGCTCACAAACTACAATATAAAAAACACCGTCTCTGCAGGCAGTAAGAGACCAAATATCCCAAACCCAATAGACTCCAACCACTGCTTGTCATTCTTCATGTCACTTCCAGGCGGATTGAACTAGTCTGATTCCGCCGAACACTAGTTTAATGGCAGACGCCTCAAATCCTCAATCCATTCTATATACACATTAATCCTAAAAATGAAGACTCTGATGGGCTTCTTGTCCTCTCTGGTTCTAATCGCCTCTGCGATTTCACCTGCAAGTTCGAGTTCCGTTGCTGATAAGTTGATTGAATGCATAGCCAACAACAACATCAACCCGAGATTGTTCCAAACCATATTCAACCCTGAATCTTCTCTATTCTCGCTCCTTCTCGACTCAAGAGTCCAAAACCTGCAGTGGCGGCCACGATTACGGAGGCATTTCGTAACCTCAGCGAAAAGCCTTACATCGTCATCGACCTCTTCAACCTCAACGAAGTACATGTCGATGTCAAGGACGGCGTGGGTCCAAAGCGGCGCACAGCTTGTAGAGCTCTACTACGCAATCGCGAGGCAGAGCACCAAGCTTGCGTTCCCAGCGGGGCTATGCCCCAGGGTGGGAGCCGGAGGCCACTTCGGCGGCGGCTTCGGGACTCTGGTCAGAAAGTACGGCTCAGCCGTTCTCTGCACTTGTTTTTTAATTTATCGTAATAGTGAGGTGGAAATTATTAAAAATTATTTTTAATTGCCACGTCACTTATTTAACGACCAACTATAAGAGTTGACCGCCACATCAGCAAAAGTTAACGGAGACTAACGGCTAGTGACCAAACTTGAACTGTTAACCTAATTTAAGTGACTACAGATGGAATAAAGTAATTCTAGTGGCTAACGTGAATTTTACTAGTAATTCAAGTGACCAAACTTGCAATTTAGCCATTCACTGTCTTATATCAATGCAATTCACATATTATTACAATTGATTTTTTAATACAATTATAAAATACGAACTCTCAATAATGATAAAGGGAATAATGATTTGGTCTAGTAGTTATACTATTGATCTTGATTTTGGAGGTCTCAAATTTGAATCTATTAAGTAATGTCTAACTAAAAACAAGAAACTATATCCTATTATTATTATTATTATTATATTTTATTCTTTTTATTATTATTAAAAGCACAAGTTTTTTTACTGTTCATTAAAAAAAATAGGAACAATATTAAAAGCACAAGTTTTAAGTGAAAAAAATCCAAATATGAGTCATTCATAATGTTTTTTTTATAAGGATGATATAGTATTAATTAGGGAAGAAAAGAAGCGGACAAACGGAAGCCCAAGAAGAGGCAACCGAAACAAAACAACCCTGCGCAGTCTGCAGAGAAAAAAAAAACAGAAGAAGTAACCTGCGCAAGGGATCGAACAAGAGGAACAAAAGGAAAAAAACGAACAAAAGAAACAGCAGTAGCATCACAGACGCAAAAGCCAGCAGGGGCCAAGGAAACAAAAGTGCTCAAGTCCTGGGGGGAAACAGCCTCAGCTTTAACACGTTTAGCCAGCTCTCGGGAATCTCTCTGTCGACTTTCTTTGCTGCAATCAGCCATTGGGCGATAACACTCCCAATTCTGAAGGCCACGACTCGAGGGGGAGCTTCCAGATCCTTGAAAACTCTCGCATTTCTTTCGAGCCATAAATTCAAACAGAAAGCATGGAGAAACACTCTTGAGGCCCATTGAGCGGCATCAACCGGACTGTTCTTTTTCCACAATCTGATCCTGTCAGTGATATCAGTAGCTCTGCAAACCTCTTCCTCAATTTTAACAAAATATTTCAGAATACTCCAAAGCTCCATAGCGAAATTACAGCTCACAAAGATGTGATTTATTGTTATTCTTCCATGACCAAATTCAAATATGTCTCATTCATAATTTAAAAGTGAATTTAATTATCATAGATTATTTATATAAGGTTATAGGTATAATATGCCCTTGTCGTTTTATCAAGCATGCCCATCTATTTTTTACATCAAACATGACCTCGTACTTTGGAAAAATGAACAAACATTCCCTTGTGTTAATTTTTTCATTAAAAAATCATCACCCATTTTTGAACTTAGATTTAGACAACCCGATATCAGCAAATGAGAGAAAAAATATCAGTTGTGTCCCCTGATTTATTTCTCTAGGTCTCGTTAGACTGAAATTAGTAGAGATATTTGGTTATACAAAAGATCCAACAAAAAAAATTATAAAATGGAATTATTAGGGATATTTTAGACATTTGTGTAGCCCAAACCAAGGTTCGACTGTGGTTAACGATTTTTAGATGAATATTTTAGAATAAGGGCATGTTTGATCATTTTCCAAAGTACATGATCATCTTTGATATAAAAAATAGTGAAGGGACAAGTTTAATAAAACGACATAATCGAGAGATATATTATACAATATAAGTTATAACCCTATAGATAGACTAACTACTAACATGATTATGGACTAATTATTGGGAACTAAGTATAATACCAACAATATATTAATTAGTCATGACAATTTACTATCATTCCTTCTCGATTATGACATTCAAAACATGATCTAAACATATTAGTTGGGTTAATAGCATTTTGTACCCCTTTATTTTTGCAAATTAACAAACGTACCTCTCTAAGGAATTCACCCTTCTGTCTAATTATTTGTTAAATGGTCGTTAAATGCTCTGAAAAATGACCAAATTTCCCTTGCTTTACTCTTAATTTTGTTTTAATTATTTTCCATTCCAAATCAATTAAAAATTAAAACAAATCACTAAACTAATCCCCTCAACAGGAATCGTTTCGTCTCCCTTTGCCCGACTCCCCTGTACTGAATTTTCCCCTGAAGTCTTCCCCTCTGTTTAATCACGCGGCTGCGCCTGGGTTTCTCCTCGCCGACGGCTAGAGCAGAAACGACTAGGCGTTACGGCAAGACGAGACGGCGAGAAGAACTTTATATCTCCTCTTAATAGAGGAAAATATCAAATTTTCATCTCAACCCAAGATCGAGCCCACGATAGCAGGAAGACTGAAGGCTACTTATGCCGACGTCGTCGTTTCATAGCTTTCTTCTACAGCTCCAGGATGTCACGTGTCGCGCGCCTAATGGTCGTTTATTAGCCAATAGAATCCGTTTGTGTGTAACGGTCTAATAGCGACTAGGTTTATCTCTATTTTTCAATCCTTTCACTGCTAGGATTTCAACCAGACTTTCTTGGCTTGTAGTGACAGTATATATATGAATGAGAAGAGAAGGGAGAAGGCAAGTTGTCTCTCCACAAACCCTAAATCGAAAACTGTTGTTAAGGTATCAGAGCCTGGTTAGAGTTTCCTAACCAGAACCTGCCCTTCCTTCTTCCTTCTCTTCTTTCTTTCTAATCTTCTACGAAAATGGCGACCAATACTACCACCTCCGACGAACAGACTGCCACCATTGGCGGTACTGACGATTCTAGTAGCACTGCCAGACAACCCAATGTCTACCCACTCTCATATCCGTTCTACCTCCATGGATCAGAACAATCAGGACAAGTCCTGGTTCTTCAAAAGCTAACACCA